AACCACATTGATATGGAAGTGAATGGTCTTGGAGTAGGACAGTGGCATTTTATTGGTTTCTATGGCTACCCAGAAAGGAATAATAGGTGGCGTTTGTGGGCACTGCTCCGAGACTTAGCGTTTCGCTCTACATTGCCATAGCTAATATCTAGAGATTTTGATGATTTATTTCATCCTCATGAAAAATCAGGGGGTGTGCCACAACCGGAATGGATGATGCATTGATTTAGAGAAGTCGTTGATGATTGTGAACTGATAGAAATTCACATGCTAGGGGGCTCCTTCACTTGGCATAAAGGTGATACTCAAGAGAAACTTGATCAGGCTTTAGCAAGTCATAGCTTGTGTTCTCTTTTCCCATCTGCTAAAGTTTGACTACCACCACCTCTCTCATCAGACCATTGTCCCTTATGGATCACTCTAAATGGTTAGCACATGCGAAAGTGTAGAAAGAAGAGAAAGTTTCGCTTTAACAATATCTGGCTGCGTGATGATCGATATTGGGGCATAGTGCAAGAAGGTTGGTATACAGTTCCTGGCAATGGAAATTGGGATGGTTTATTGGCCAAAGTCCATGCCTGCTTAAGTAATTTAGAGGTTTGGAACTCAACTTGTTTTGGCCATGACCGGGGTATGCTTCGACAGAACATGAAAGCCCTTGAAGTGTTAAAATGTCAACATGCAACTAAGGACTCCTTAGCTGACGAGCAAAAGCTTCTGGCTGAGATCGAGGAATGGCTTGAGCATGAGGAGATAATGTGGAAACAAAGATCACGGGAAATTTGGCTACACGAAAGGGACTGAAATACTCGTTTTTTTCATAGGAAGGCGTCAAGACGAAAGGAACAAAACACAGTTGAAAGGCTCATGAGGGAGGATGGGCAATGGACGACTAATTCGGATGAAATTAGATTTATTGCCACTAGTTATTTTCAATCCCTTTTCTCCTTTTCCTCACCAAAGGATTTTGAGTATGTGTTAAACTGTGTTAAGCCTTGTGTACAAGAAGATCATAACAAGTTTCTTCTTAGGGAGTTTACAGAACAGGAGATTACATATGCCCTCTTTCAAATACACGCCTCAAAAGCCCCAGGTCCAAATGGCTTATCACCTGACTTCTTTAAGCATTTTTGGGATATTGTAAAAGAAGATATAGTGGCCCCTTGCTTGAGGTTTATGAATGGAAGTGAGCCCTTCTAGATAATCTAAATTTTACAAACATTGTGCTTATACTAAAGTGCTTTGAACCAAAAACCATGACTGATTTACATCTGATTAGTCTCTACAATGTAGTGTACAAGGTCTTAACTAAAACATTAGTAAATCGTTTCAAATTTGTCTTGCCTTCTATGATCTCACTTGAACAAAGTGCATTCCTTCCCAATAAACACATCATGGACAATTTCCTGATTGCCTTTGAAGTCCTACATTATATGCAAGCAAGAAAGGATGGGAAAAAAGGGTGGCAAGCCATTAAGCTTGACATGAGCAAAGCTTTTGACATGGTAGAGTGGCCATATCTAGAGCAGATCATGAGATCACTGGGCTTTGCTGAGCGTTGGATACACTTAATTATGGCCTGTGTTACGACCATTCACTATGAGGTACTTCTTAATGGTTCAGAGGCAAGACGAGTGTCTCCAACTAGGGGGATACGCCAAGGAGATCCCCTCTCACCATACCTTTTCATCCTTTGTGCAGAGGGCCTTACGGCTATGATCCATGATGTTGAGAGAAGAAGGCTCCTCTATGGTATCAAAATCTACAACCGTGCCCCTCGCATATCCCACTTATTATTTGTAAATGACAGTTTTCTTTTTTTTTTTTTTACAAGCTACAGAAACTGAGGCCCAAAACCTAATGGAAGGTATGAATTAATGTCAGGACAAATGGTGAATTTGCGTAAATCTGCGGTTTCATATAGTAGTAATGTCTAGAGCAGAGCTCGTATGCGCATTGTAGATATTCTTGGTATGGAAGAGACTGTACACCAAGGCCGATACTTGGGTTTCCCAGTCTATGTTGGTAGATCATGCTCTGCAACTTTCTCTGAGCTAAAAAGCAAGTTTTAGTCTCATATAAGTGAGTGGAAGGAACAACTGTTGTCTAGAACCGGTCAAGAAATCCTAATCAAGTCTGCTCTTCAAGCCCTTCCAACTTACATGATGGGAATGTTTAAGCTTCCAATCACACTTTGTACTGAATTGGAGTGGATCATGAATAGATATTGGTGGGGAGGAGGTGAAGGGGGGCATAAGATCCACTGGATGGAATGGAAGAACCTGGCTGTCCCAAAGAAAATGGGTGGACTAGGCTTTCAATCACTTCATGAGTTTAATGTGGCCATGTTTGGAAAATAGGGTTGGAGATTGATGACTAATCCTGACTCGTTGGTTGCCTAGGAATTGAAAGCAAAATACTTTCCTCGCACAGATTTTATGCATGCTCAACTGAAACCAGCGTGTAGTCTTACATGGAGGAGTATTTGGGGCTCACAAGAGTTATTGCAAAGGGGCTGCAAAAAGCTTATAGGTGATGGGCAAAGCACAAAGATTTGGGGGGATCCATGGCTCCCAGGTTGCTCCGAGTATTGCATCCAATCACCACGACCAGATAATTGCAATCTTAGATATGTTAGTGATTTGATTGATGATAGCTCCCACACATGGAATAGGGATTTGATCTTATCTACTTTGAATCCCCATGAAGCCTAGTTAATCTTATCCCTTCCGCTTAGTTGGATGCAACGGAATGATGGTTGGATGTGGAGTTTCACACGGCTCGGTAACTATTTTGTCCGCTCTAGCTACCATTGTGTGATGAATATGAGGAGGAGTATGGATGTTCCTGGTAGCTCATATGTAGCATTTGGTGGTAATAAATTATCGGACCTTAATATTCTAGGTAAAATAAAGTTTTTTACCTGGAGTGCCTATTGTAATGTGCTTCCTACCAAGAAAAACCTGCAGAAGAAGCGTGTACAGGTGGATTTGTAATGCCCTGTATGTAGTTATGATATAGAATCAGTAGTACACTGCCTTCTATTCTTTTCTATTGCCTGTGCAGTATGGCATGGAAGCCCCCTTAGCCTTCGTGTGTCTGAATTCCCTTTTAGTTCCTTTGCCCATTTTTTTGATATTATGAGTGCTAACTTAGAGAGGGAATAGTTGGAACTCTTTTGTACACTGTGCTGGAAGATTTGGAGTGGTCGGAATGATGCTCAATGGAACAGTAGAAGGGTACAACCTCAGCAGATCATTGAGGGGGCCATGAAATATCTGGGGGAACATAAGAGAGCACAAGAATCACTGGGCTGAGGACCTGCAGCGGTCCAACGGGATTGTGAGACAAGGTGGCATCCGCCTGATGAGGGGACTATTAAAATAAATGTTGATGGTGCCATAACGGAACAGCGTCGAGTGTTTGGCATGGGCGCAATGGCCCGTGATCACCATGGCCTGTCAAGGGAAGGATGTGGTGGTTGCAGAACTTGCTGAAGCACATAGTGTTAGGCATGCGCTGTGGTGGGCTAACGAACTCAATCTTGGGAAAATCATCATTGAGACAAATTGTGCAAGTATTGTCACAGCTCTTTTATCTGATATTGCGAACTGAGAATTGGGCAATATCCTCTCTGACTGTAAATCGATGATGACATCTTTCCCATACTGCCACGTACAGCACACCCGTCGAACTGGAAATGCTGTGGCTCATGAACTGGCAAAGAGGGCACTACAAGCAGAGGGAAAGAATTTTCTGTAAGTGAGATACCCATTTTCTTGTGCCTTTTGTATCCAGGGACAAGCTGTCAATTTGATTATTGTATCATTTCCCTGTCTTTATCCAATTTAATAAAACAGGCGCTCATTTCATATCAAAAAAAAAGAAAAAAGAAAAAAAAAAAGGCGTCAATATTGCTGAACAGAATGTTCAATATGGACCACATGCAAATATATTATTGAGTACTTATATTTCCAATTTCTATTAGTCAAAATCTTGTCAAATTGAGTATCATTATGTTGTTCACTGCTCGTGTCGAGTGCCTATATATGTTTCAAGAATTCAATTAATATGGTTTTCTATAAAATCAATCATGTACTATTAGCTTTTTTTTTTTTCAACATCCAATAATTATTTATAGGGTTCTTATCATTTGTGTCTTTAAAATATATGTTAAAAATAATTTTTTTAATATTAATTATTATTAAAAAAATAAAATTTAATATTTATTTAATCAATTGTCAAATTAAAACAATACATATAACATTGATGATAAAATTAATGTCAATTTTTGTTATTTTTTATATTAATTAATATAAAAAAATGTATTAATTATACCCTTAAGGTTAGATAAATCCTTATTTATATAATAGGACACAATTCTCCCTTCTCAAACCTTTTATCTATTCAATTCACTAAATTAACTCAATATTCAAATTTAAAATTTTAAAAGTAAAAATTTAAAATTTTAACTATTAAGTATGTCTCATAAGATAATTATATATTAGCCAGCGAAAAAAGGTGTATAGCTTTCTCAAAAGTTATTCGGTGCTAATCGTTATCATAGTATAGTGCCTGTTAATGGTGTATGATCCGTTTGCCTATGATTGGAATATGGAATTTGGAGAGCAATTCCTTCAGTTTCAGTTGGAGGATCAGGAGATATCTGTTTCCTATGATTGGAATTTGAGAGTCTATAGAAGAATCGACTAGGTAAGGATTCACCACTACGGAAGATATTCAATCCTTTTTTTAACTTGTTGAATAGAACTGAGTCAACTGACAATTGTCTACATTTTTTTTTTCCAAGGAAACTTGTAAAACAATATAAGTTTCAATTAAAGAAAGAGGAATGGATCATTACAAACAGATAAACACTATAGAAAGGGATGAATGTCCAAACTCTCATAACATAGCTCTTGGGGTCAGATGCTACACGTAACTATAGCATGAAAACAATGATTAATATATTTTTTTTATTCAATACATTCTACAATACATTTATTAAAATAAAAATTATTTTTAAATTTAAATTTAAAATGAAAAAAACTTTCATCTATAGATTTTGATAACTAAATTGGTAAGTATTGGTTTCTTAGTATAAAAAAACCTTGGCAAATTCAATTCTAGTTACACACAAATTAAATTTGAATAAGTTGTATGAGTTGGGAAGTAAACACAACCATTTAGGTGCAAATTGTCATGGCGGTGTTATTACCTTTTTTTTTTTTTATTAACAAGGACAATTAATCATTACAACTATTTCGTGTTTTTAATAAGGAGTATGGGGGGACGAGTTAGGGATCGAATATAATACGTCCTAACGGTGTTTCCATAAGGTGTTACCACTCCGCCGTCATGTGGAGAACAAGGTGTTTTTATTACTTCGATTTGGAAAGAACCCATAAATTAATTTGTTATCCAACCATCACATTTGCTCTCTCCGCCACTTCCCTTGATACATAAAAGAGAAAACCAAAGCCTTTTATTTTCTTTTTTATCGTCTTTCCGATTACACAAAGTGTGTCACCGCACAGATCTCCAACTATTCAATTTCGATTTCTTTTCTTCTACAATTTTGATTCAAGATCAAAGATAGCTATTGCTAAAATATTTTCATCCAAATTATATCTCTTCTGCACAACCCAAAATTTTTTATTATTAAAAAAGCTGGATTTATGACCAACTGTGCTTCGGTTTTAGAAGGTGTTGTAATTGGATATTTTTTAAGCATTTAGTTAGTGTCAATTGTAAAATGATTATGTAAATGTAAAGATGTAAAGATTAATTTGAAGCGAGCTTTAGTTACTTCTGGGCATTCCCATTGTCTTTGGACTTTGGAGCTTCCAGGCTTGTTTCCCAGGCTTTGAGGGTTGATTTGAGTGAGGAGATTAGTCTACTCAGGCTAATACATGCAGTCCATTAGCCCAAAAAGATGTAAATATCTTTTGGGTCATAGCCCAAATGGGTGTCAAAATAATGCCTGTAAAATCAAACCAACATGGTTTGTAAATGACATGAAAAAAAAAAAAAAAATGCTGCCATTGAAGCGCAATAATTATGTACGGGGTCCTGGTATTTTCAAGTTTTTTTTTTTTTTGATGGAGCTATTTTCAAGTTAAGGTACCAAATTTGAATATTGTCAATTATTCAAATTTAGTCCAATTTATTGGGTACCTTTCCATTGACAAGTGTAGAATAAGTGTCTACTTTTAAAGGTAATGGATATGATTTATTGAAATTATTTGTACCTGTATAATGTAAAAAAGATTTGATCTTGCATTTTGAACATAATTCAAATTATTATTTAACTACTTAAGTTAATTCTAATAAATTAAATTATGTCATTTTGTTATATAATTATTTTTTTTATTGAAAACAAAAAATTTTTATTGAGAGTGAATTTAAGGGATATTCAAACCCTTATACACATTAATTACTCCAGCTATTAGATACAAGTCACCTGTACAAGTTTCTTCTCATAACATGGCGACAAATTTCAAAGCAAGCTATATTAACCCCCACTTATCAACTGTCCCTTCTTTCCTAACATTGCAAACCATATTAAACATGCTGCACAAAAGACTCTCGCTCATTGCAATGAAAGACAAAAGCAAATTTTCACCAATTTAAACATTTTCTCGGCTGACTTTGGGCTACTTGGAAATTCAATAACAAATGATTAGCAGTTTCAGCATCCACAAAGTCCACACTTAGCATCAGATTTGTTGTTCAAAATGCCACAATTCAACAGGTTATCTTTCGTTGGAATTTTATTCAAAAAAGACTGCTTTATGAAAGCAAGTACATTTCGTGGTACCAGAGGATTCCAGCATTTTCTGGACTCAAATATTTCACCTAGCTCCTGTGGTTGAATCAACAAATTGTACACTTATCTAACTGTGTAGTTTTCATCCTTCCCCAGTTGCCAAGTCCACTTTCTTATCTTTATACAGTGTAATTTTGCAGTAACTCCACAAGCTGAGTGTGTGAGTCCTACTCCCCGCTAAACAAAGGTCTCCTCCAATTAATTGCCCACTACTATCCAAGATCCCATCGTGGGTATTAAATTACTTTTTCCTATAAACAAAACAAACAACCTTTGAAATAAGTCATATAATCTACTTCCCCCCGTCCAAGGATCCTTCCAAAAATTTGTTTGTCCCCTACAACCCATTGCCAATCTGAAGTATGTTGTTCCCCTTTGAGTGTGAAACTAGAGTCCCACAACTCAGTTAGTGAAGAGACTAATTTGCTTCAATCATGAGGTTAGAGGGTTTATTTTCTCTATTTTTAGTTCAGGGGTTAATCACTTATTGTTGGAAAAGTTGAGATGCTTAAGAAAGGTTTTTGCCTTAAATAAAATTTTAATTGATAATATTAAAAAAATTGTGTGATCCTAACATTATAATGTATGGCCATTACCATGCCCCTACTTTATTTGGCCTTCCGGTATTAAATTTAATAATGGTGTATGTCACTCACGTGCTTTTTTGCAAGGCCGAAACAGAGGATGCAATCTTAATGAAAATATAATACTCAAGTGTCCTGTCATTTGTTTCATATCAAAGTGTGGATGAATGAACTGCTCTGAAGGGTGGTGTTTATTTTTCTTTTCTAATTGAGTTACAGTACAAGGATTTTGTTTTTGGCAATGGTCGGGGTGATATTGAGAGAAGTGTGGTCGGCCACTTAAATTTATTTCATGTTGTATGTCATGCACATGATGGATTAGGTGATTTGAAACAATTTAATATTCAGCATGGCCATAACGCTTCTTCTTATTTCGGTAAATTGATGACGGCCATAAAGCTTCTTTTCTTTTTGGTAAATTGAAGGCCATAAAGCTTTGGTGGAGAAATTTTTGAATCAATTCAAAGTTAGATGATTTCTTTGGTTGAGTGGTAGTAGCAAGCAGTGTGTTTTCACTGTGTCAAGTCATGCAGAGGGTATTTATTAACTGGGATGACTTCGATTTATGTTAGGAGTCAGAAAATTAATTAAAGAGAGTGAAATTTTTTATGGATTGTTTAACCTCTGAGAAGGCCTCTCATCCCAATCTCTCTGTAATCCAATGGAGAGATCTAGCTTGAACCGAACCAACACTACTTTTCAAATCAACATCCATGTTTCTGAGTACATTTTCATTTCTAAGTAGCCATATTGTCCACACAACTGCTGTAATATCCCAAATTTTCTGAAATTCTAGCATTTAAGTTGAGAGGACCTTTGTGTGATAAAATATTATTTTGGAGCCTATTAACTAAAATATCCAAATTTTAGGGACTTAAAAGAAAAAAAAATTAGGATAAGGACCAGCTGATATTTTTTTCTCCTTTTCCTCTTTCTTCCTCAGCCCGCGTGTCCTGTTCTTCTTCTTCCCCGACCCCCCCCTGCAACCCGAAAAAGAAGCCCAAGCACCGACTTCCATTTCTTAAAAAAAATCAGCAAAAGCTTAAAATTTTCCCTTTCTTTTCTTGTTAAAGAGAAAAATTAGGACTTAGAAATCTTTCCCCCCCTGCAGAAAAATTTCAGATCTGCTCTGTTTCTCCCCCTTTGTCTGTCCGCTGTTTTGCTGGGTGTGAATCCTTCGGGATTTTCGGTAAGAACCAGCTTCAAGTTCATCTCTTTAGCTTTAATTTGGCTTGGGTCACTCTAATCCCTTTTGTTTCTTGCAATTTTGTGGTAGTTTTCATGATTTCTTCTCCAGTCTCCGTCGGCCTCCATACCCGCCAGCTCCGGTTTTGGCTGCTGGAAAAACTCTGGTATGTTGATGGCATCTTTAAGTCCGAAAATGGTTGATTAATTGGTGCCCTGTTGTCCGAAAATTTTCTGTTGTACAGGGGATGAATTCCGATAGCTTTTGAAACATGTTTCGAGTTTAATTCATGTAGAATTTTCTGTGATTGGACTACTGTGATGTTCTGTATGCATAGCCGGGTCTTAGTGCTGTTTTGCCAAGCTCGGTTCCTCCATTTTGTCCGTTGGAAATTATCTGTTGAAATGGAGGAGTTTCGGCAGCCTTAAAACATGGGTTTTTAAGCTTTGCTTAATGTAGAAAATGTTCTTGATTAGCTGCTGTGAAGTTTATATGGAAATTCCGTGTGAGTTGCGGTCTTGCCAAGATAAATAATTGAAATAAAAACCTTGTTTCTCCATTTTTGTGTCTGTGGGATTGGAAACCAAATTAGCAAATTTGGCTCTAAAACCTCTTGTTTAAGAGAATTTTTGGATATCATAATTTTACTTAAAAATATTTGGATTTTGGGGAGATATACACGAGTTGAGAAAAAGGGAGTTTTATATTATGGTTGAATTTTGTGTGAAGCTCATTGGTTAGTAAATTTGCGAGGTTGTGCTAATAATTCTAGTAAGGTCTGAATGTATTTATTTGGAATATTAGGTGCTGTTATGGCTTAGAGCACTTGGATTGAGTCGTCGGTTTTATGCGATTTGAGGTAAGTAAATTATGGTAACACCCTTCGATTTTAAAGTACATTTTTACCTTGTTTTTGAAGTAGTGGCAGGACTAAATCCGTTTTACACAAGTATGATCGATTTGAAATGAAATTATTATTCTTTTTATTGATTTGAGCATGCCTTCTTGGAGTTTACTTAATTGCCCTGATGATCTGAAAATTATTTGTGAATTATGATTTTCTTGTTAATTTCTGCCTAGTTTTGTCTCTGATATGGTCATGTTATTCGTGTGCCTGCTAGTAGGAGGTTTATAAACGTTAGCACATGTCGACATGTATTTCTATAGAGCTGGTTCCTTGCTGCCAGTGGGAGTGTTAAACACTAGTATTTCTATAATCCTGCTAGTGGGATTATACACTAGCAAATCGTGTGCCTGTCAGTGGGAGGTTTATAACACTGGCCATGACCTATAGAGGAGACATCTATTTTATTTCCGCACTCGTATCTGTTTTTCGTGATTATACTGGTTGACATGCTATAAGTTTAATTAAGGGCTATCCATATTTATTTACTGAGTTATCTCATGGTTTTTCCTTGTCCACCATTTTAGGAAGCGAGGTCAAGGACGGGGAAAAACGAGGGGAATGACGAGTTAGAAGGCTAGTTATCTTGTAAATGGAACATAGATTTTAGATCTAAATCATGATTTTGTAAACTAGACTTTATTTGGAGATTTTATGATATCAGAGCAAATTTTAAAATTTTATCTTCAGATTTTGTGGTATCAAATTGGAGTATGATAAGTTTCGAGCCTTGTGCATTTGTAGGACCTTCTCACAAGTCTACGGCATCTGTTGCGCCTCGAATTTGGGTTTTTGGGCGTGACAACTACAAACCAAACCACTTCCCAACCCAAACTCAGCTTTTTTCTTTCCCCACACCATATATACATGCTGCACAAAGGACTCTCTAACATTGTAGTGGAAGACAAAAGAAAAATTCCACCAATTTAAACATAACATTTTCTCCACTGACTTTGGGCTACTTGGCAATTCAATAACAAATGATTGGCAGTTTCAGCATTTAGTCTATAGATTCCACACGTAGCATCAGATTCGTTGTTCAAAATGCCACAGTTCAACATGTTATCTTTCGTTGGAATTTTGTTCAAAAGAGACTGCCATATGAAAGCACATACCTTTCATGGTACTAGAGGATTCTAGCATTTTTTTGAACTCAAATATTTTGTCCAACTCTTGTGATTGAAATCGACAAATTGTACGCTGATCTAATTGTGTAGTTCCTATCCTTCCCCAGTTCCCAACTCCACTGGTCTTTCTTATCTCCACTTGGTCTGTAATTCTATATCACCTCTGTAAGCTCGCTCCCCACCAAACAATGGTCTCCTCCAATTAATTGCCCAATGCCTTGAGTTGTTTATCCAAGATCCCATCTTAGCTATATATATTAAATTACATTTTCCCATAGGCAAAACAAAAAACCTTGGAAATAAGTCATATAATCTCCTTCATCCCTCCCAAGGACCCTTCCGAAAATTTGTTTGTCCCTCATCACCTATTACGAATTTAAAGCTCTCCAACAACCACCTGTTCGATCCGTCTTACAATTCATATATACAGTACTACAAATAATTTTTCACCATTGGGAGCCTCTACCTAAACCTGCCCTCACCCAGTCTACCCAACTCCCACTTCTGTTCCCATATTTTTCTACAAGAACACTTCTCCATAACCCTCCCTTTGCATAAGATAACCCGCCCCACCAATTTCCTAAGAGTGCTACATTTTATTTTTTTTTTTTATACCTAAATCTCTCATATTCTTCTCTTTACAAAACTTCTCCCACTTTACCTAGCACACTTTCCTTTTATCCTCAACCCCCTAGAGAAATCCCTTTCTAATTGGCAAAACCCTATGTTAAGCCCCAAACTTGTCCCAGATTCTCGATTAAGCCCTTAAAGTTTATTAAAGTAAATAAGCTCTTAAATTTGGCAAGGTGGACAATAGGGATGGCAATTTCCTCCACGACCCGTCGAGCTTCGCAAAGATCCACACCACGAGGATGGAGATTCCAAGATTATTCCTCCCCATGGGGCGGGGATGTAGGCACTTTTTTCCCCATGAAATTTCACGGGGAATTTCCTCCATCTCATGGGAAACCATGGAGAACTGTATAAAATAAAAAAAAATATAAATTTATATATAAATATATTTTTTTGTAAATATT